TCAAATCTTCCAGGGTGACTTATTTGTGATTTGCAGTCACTGGAAAGCCAGTGCCCTGAAATTTCCCCTGGTGAAATCTCTTGACCACAAAGGAAGGGCATCAATACTCCTGTCGTATCTGCCTGATGGGAACGGCTTCAGACTATGGGACCTTGAAAAACGCTCTGTGATCAAATCCCGTGATGTCCTCTTTGAGGATACCACTTTCTTGTACGGTGCGGAACTCGTCTCTTCACCCTCCCCAATTTCTGTGGAAATACCATGGCATATATCTCCCCCTGTGGTCCCACCACTCACTCAAGTCGAGAGCTCTCCCCCGTCCGGATCAGATCAACTTACTATCTCCTCTGGCTCTGATTCTCCATACGACACTCCTGCCCAATCACCTACTTCAAATCCCTCTCCTGATATTTCGATAATCTCTCTCCCCCACCACCCGGATTTGAGGATCCACAACACCCCGACTGGGTCTGCGAAGTGAACAGATCTGTCTACAGACTAGAGCAGTCGCCTCGCCAGTGGAACATCGAACTTCACAAGGCGCTTCTTGACTTGGGTCTGTCAAACTCAAAATACGACCCGACTCTATACTTCAAGCTAAATGATGGTACCCTTGTTGGGGCTCTCACCACTCATGTGGATGATCTCGCCATTGTCCGTGAAACTTCCTTTGTGGATTCACTGATCTCCTCCATTGGTCAACGTTTCAAGATTGGAGCCGATGAAGAACTCAACCACTTCCTATCTCTCAAAATTACTAGAAGTCTCTCTGATCGGTATGTGTTCCTGAATCAGGCTCACTACATCTCAGACCTCTGTGCCAGATTTCTCAACGGAAACCCAACTTCTGTATCAACTCCAACTGACTCCCACTTCAAGAATCTTGGTCGTTGCCTCTCGTCAGAGCCAACATCGTCAGGACCTTACCCACAGTTGATTGGATCTCTTCTCTGGGTCTCTCAATGTACCCGTCCCGATATCTCCTTTGCATTCAACAGGCTCTCCCAACACCTCCGGGACCCCTCGGACGCCCACTGGCATGCTGGACTTCGAATTCTCAACTACCTCGTTGCCACCAAGGATCTGAAACTTCGCCTTGGTGGTGAGTTAATTCTCTCAGGATACTCGGATTCCGACTGGGCTGAAGATTGTGATGATAGATGCTCAACTTCTGCCTACACCTACCATGTGGGTGATGGTGCCATCTCCTGGACCCCGAAAGCAAGCAACAGTGTCCCTATCCAGCACAGAAGCCGAATACAAAGCTCTCTCAGACTCCTGCAAGGAGGGCCTCTGGTTACAACATCTTCTCACAGAACTCCGCCTACGTCCGGACACAGCAATCCCACTTCATGTTGACAATGAGGGAGCAGAAGCTCTTGCAAAGAATCCGGAACATCATGCCAGGACAAAACATATTCACGCTTGGTATCACTTTATCCGGGAATGCGTTCAAGAGGGTGACATGTCACTGCTTCATGTATCCACTAAAGACATGCTGGCAGACATGTTGACAAAGCCTCTTCCTTGTGTGTTGCTGGAAAAACATCGCACTCTTTTCGGCATAGTCTCTTAATTTTCTCCTCTATCTTTTTCTCTCTCTCTCTCTCTCTCTCTCTCTCTCTTCCTTTCTCTCTCTCTTTCTTTCTTTCTTTCTTTCTTTCTTTCTTTCTTTCTTTCTTTCTTTCTTTCTTTCTTTCTTTCTTTCTTTCTTTCTTTCTTTCTTTCTTTCTTTCTTTCTTTCTTTCTTTCTTTCTTTCTTTCTTTCTTTCTTTCTTTCTTTCTTTCTTTCTTTCTTTCTTTCTTTCTTTCTTTCTTTCTTTCTTTCTTTCTTTCCTTCTTCTCTGATTTCACTCCATGTGTGCAGCAAGGGGGGGTGTTGAGCTATGCATACTGCCATATTCATCTTTATCTGCTTTACACATGTATTTCACATTTCATTCACATTTCAGAGTTTTCTTTGTACACCTGGAACAGCGGTCGTGGAAGGTTTCTTTCCTCATCCTTCCACGAACCACGTCACTCACCCCACCTCGCGCCGCTGTTTCCAGGTATAGTAGTCTCATGTTTTCTTTCTCTCTTTTCTTCTCTCTGTCTGTGTGAAATGATATAATCCTTCCACGAACCACGTCACTCACCCCACCTCGTGCCGCTGTTTCCAGACATAATCAGCTTATCAGGAGCTGAGTGAACTGGTTTTGGGGGGGATGCTGGAGCTGGGTGAGCTGGTTTTGGGGAGGATGCGGGAGCTGGGTGAGCTGGTTTTGGTAGGGATGTGGGAGCTGGAAGAGCTGGTTTTGATGGTGTCTCAGTGTCAGGATCACCAAATAGTAAGTCATTCCATCAAGTCTAGCTAGCATCTTTCTGCCAAGTTTCTTCTCTGTCTCTCTGAATTCTGCTAAATATCTGCCTCCATCATCATCACATCAATCCAAGTCATCTTTAATTCATCATTATTCTTTGTTTGGTGGTATAACTGAAAACCACATAGGTTTCCCTTTAAAGAACCTTGATCTTTGATCTAAAAAATAGTGGTTGGATTGACATATCAATACCAATAGCCCTTCTCAGTTTCAGTTGAGTAAGGAGGCGTAGATTTATTCCGCTAAAACAACAGCCATCCTCTTCAGGAAAGTAAGACTGCATTAAGACTTGACTTTAAAATAAATAAACAATAAAAATATTAATCTTTCTTTTCTCTTTCTCTCTCTCTTTCTTTCTCTTATTCTAGTTGTCTTTCCTTATTCTCTTGAAATACATCTAGAAGTGTCCCCCAAACCTTGTGTCCTGTTGTCATTTTAGAGACCCAGGCTCACAGTATCTGCTGGCGGATACCCGCCAGCGGATGCCCCCTTTTCCGTGAATTCCCTGTGTTTTTTTGGGTATCCCCAAGGATACCTGAGGCCAGAAGGAGGAGATGGCCGGCTGGAAGGAAATCCTTCCAGCTGGCTGCCTTGCTGTCAGGCTTATGCTACTTACGTTATAGTGTCATAGTGCTATAACCGTAGACTATGAGATAAAGATAAAAATGAGGATTAGTTTTCAATCGAGGCTCAGGACAGAAATGCACTTGAGGCTTACTCAAGCTTCCTGCAGCCAATAGCCAGGGCAATCCAAGCAGCAACAGATAGTCGAGTTGTAAATTAACAGAGAGCGTATAACAGGCAATAGATAACAGACCAGTGTTACCTAGACTTGTACCGGAGTGATGAGATTTATAGGCAATAATGGCTAGAATAAAAGTAAGCTAATCCTTCCAAGACAAGAGGTATTTCTAAAGTTATAATCTTTTAGTGGATGCTCTTCGGATTGGTAGGATTGGTTGTATCTTTGTATTGACTAGTAAGTTTTGCTGGGGAAAAGAAGGAAGAACTCTCCTTCATTGTTCAAGCTACCTCCTTAAGTATTCCTAGCTTCTATTCTGGGGTTATCCCTAAAAACAAACTCTGATATCATGGTCTAATTTTAATTGAGGGTCCTCTTAGACCAAGTTAGCCTGCTTGCTCTAAGATAATCTTTACTCAGCCGGTTTTTATTTTATGTTTATCTTAAACAAACCTCCACTTGTTTGTTCACCTGTTGGTGATCTCATCAATCTTCTGTAATGTTGTGATCTCATCAATTTTCTATCTTATGTAATTTTGATTATTTGTTTGTTGTGTGTTTTCTCTCTCTATTTTCTTAATCTTGTATTGATTATATGGTTACTACTTTCTAACTCTGCATACTTATAATTATGTGTTATTCTTATTGTATCTTAGTTGATATTTCTATATTACTTGTCACTGTCAAGAGTGTTACTACAGGTCTTACACTCTTGCCTGTTGACACTCACCGCCAATTTAATGGGCGGGTATCCGTGGATACCTGCTCAGATACCCGCTGCAGCCAATGGATACCTGCCAGCGGGTGCGGATGGCAATTTCCCCGGAAAAAACAGCCAGATATCCACATACGTGGGATATCTGGATGCACCAGGGCCATCTCTATTTTACATTGAAGTGCCTGATTTAATTTGATTGTGATTCAATTCTGAGTCAGTCATTCTAGAAAAACACTGCTGGTGCCTTTCAAATTATCATATATTCTGGTGTTTCTCAAAGTTTCATCAGCAAAAAAATAGGGGAAAGCCATGTGTCAAGATCAGGGAAAGTTGGAGGAAATTGAAAATTTTTCTTTGGAAATTGAAAATAAATTCAGTGTAACACCCAGTGAATTTAAAATGAAATTTATAATTATTTCATGGTACTTCTAGTCATCTTAATTTCTTTTTTTCAATATTTTGAGGTGACTGAGTTGAGACTTAAAGTCACTGGCTTGCCAGTGCCTTGGAATTTCCCCTGGTGCATTAATTCATTTTTGCCACACTACATAATATAAGTATGAACTGGAGTCGGAAATTTTAAATTTTCTATTGGATTATGAATATTTCTGCATCAGGAGTTGCAGCTTGGAGCAACCACATCAGTGCGGGTGTAAGTTGAGGGTTAGTGGATTACCACTACTCAGGGTTGTCAACCACAGTGGTGTGATCATTTAAACCTGGGAGTAGCCAGGGGTTGCATGCATTTTTTGTATGCAAATGGCTCTTAATCCCAGGATTAGTGAGGAGTAACTTTACTCCTACTTAGGCCTAATCCTAGTCTGGAATAGAGTTTAGTCAGATTACATTGAACTCAATGTGGTTGAGGACTTGGATTAGTTACGCTAATCCAGTCTTAAATTCTTAATCCTCTTCCAATGCAGTTGCTCTTGGTGGTATTTGTGGGACTATGATCTGATCTTGATGAGACAAACAATATTTCAAATGTGTGTTACATCTAAAAACAGCCAGGCGAAGGGGGAAAACAATTTCACTCATGTAAGGTAAGGTATTACAAGACTTATTAAATAAGCAGGTTTATTGAGTGTCAAAAAATTCTGATGAAAGTAATAACAATTGATCTACTGAGAGTAGGTGGAAAGAGAGAAAAAATATCACAGCAGGTTTTCTGGTCAGAATAGTACACAATGAGGAATAGAGATGTTAAAATGCCTATGGATAAGAAGCAAAACAACAGGCAGTGATAGTTGAAAAAGTGAATTAAGGGTTCTGAAAGTTGAAGTATTCCGTAGCATAAACCGAGGGCGCTAATTTGCTTGCAAGTGTTAGGATCTCTGTGCTAGCCACACGGAACTGTGTAAGTAAGTCCAAAAAAAGAGATTTGAAGAGATTTTCGGGTGGATGGCAAGCAAGCCCGGACGTTGAAGGCTCGTAGTAACTGGCTATGAAAGCTGCAGAGGAATACAAGTGCTCAGCAGGCGCATTGATCCATCTCCTAAGTTTTCCGACGCTGTATTCTGTTTGCCCGTGCTCGTCCAATTCGTCCATCGCGTAAGACACTCTCAGAAGAGATTTATAAATCCTGGACACTTCAGATTGCAACGATAAAATCTGCCATGAGCTCATTTGGGCACCAAATGTGATGCTTTGTTTACTGGCTGGAGTTGTCGTTATTCTCCTGTAGAAAATTCTGATTAACTTTATGATAGGGATGTTCGCTTGGAAAAGACTGAGGAGTTGTGGTTGTATAGGCCTATCCGTTTGATTGATACGTTCGGTTTGCTTTGTCAGAAGGCTGTCGAAGAACTTCAAGTATGCCTGCCAACGTTCTTGAATAATGTCGTGGTCAGATCGTTTAGACAATCTCATCATCCCATCGATAATATGCAAGCATTTCTCAGTCTTTCCAACTATAATATCCTTGTGGTGAGACCAAGGGAACCATTCTGCGAGGAGACATTTTTCATAAGCGCGAAGTAACGAGAAGAGCGGGTAAGATACAAAGTATTTATACTTTCGCCCTAGATAAGCGATTCTAAATTTTTTCAAAACGCCGTAACTACAATCTATGTGGCTAGCATGATACCATCGATGTGGGTCCAACGGTGCGAGGAACTGGATTGCTGTGTTAAGGCGAATGATGTTGGTCTCAAGGGTAGGTAGGATCTCCAAGCAACCCCTCGGGTCAGGGTCGGCGGCGTCAATGTCAAATGATTTCAGCAAATCGGCCAATTGCTGTCGCACTTGTGGTAGGAGGCTCGTCTCAATTTGGAGCAGGACAGCTTTATGGGCGTTCAACTCGTCGGTTGACAAAACTTCTTCAGTAGACGCGAAACCTCTATTCTGACTGTCATTCGCCATCGAGAAGCCCGCATCAATAAATGCTTGAGCCAATACACGTAGATCTATATGGGAAGAAGTGGATATATTGGATAAATTTGGAATCAGCCAAAACTGCTCAGGAAGTTCATTTGAAACTCGGCGAGCGGAATTGATGTACCGTTTGATTGAGACTCCGAGATTGACATAGCTGTTGATCAGTTTTATTTTTCGATCGGTTATCTCTTCTTTTCGAAATGTTGTATTTTGATGTATCCAGTTGTGAAATTGGTTGTGAGATAGAATGGTAGGGAGGAGACAAACGGTGGTGTGTGACGACCATGAAACTCGCTGTCTTCTGCCTATAAAAGGTACATGGTCGAGCCAGGTAATGTCATGACGAAAAAGAGCAAAAGCCAAGGCAAACCACATGGTTAGGTCCGCATATAGAGATACGCTACCAACAAAAGTGGTTTCGCGGAGGCCAAGACAATAACCAACAAGAAATCAGGCTCTCCTTCTTATTGCGGTAATGGGTTACGAGTGGAACACGGGCTGATTACGGCTGGTTGACCCGGAACCGGAAATCTTATTTGCTAGCCATACTATTGACAAGCAACCCGGAGACTGAAGGATGAGCTGATGGGTTGACGAGCCGTCTGGAATGCTAGGCGGGAAGAAGCTCAGGTATCCGAAGAAGTTGACGGCATCAAAATCATCCAGATTTCTCCTGAGTTATAGGGGATTTTGTGTGCAAAGGCCAAAAACAGCCACAAAAAGCCTGAGCTTCCAGGCCGATGTTTCAACTTCACTCCCAAGCCCCTCTTTCAGAGAGTCGCTTCGCGAGGTGCCCCCGGCCCTCTGGAACGAGGGGATTGTGTTAAGCTAGCAGCGGATGTGGCTCCGGGATCTGCCGGGACTGGAATATTTTGAAACTCAAACCAACCGAATCAGGACATCTTGGTCTGGCTGTCTGACAAGCTTGACCCCGCTTCCGCTGTCTGACAAGCTTGACCCCGCTTCCGCTGTCTGACAAGCTTGACCCCACCATCTTAGGAAAATCTTCTGCTAGGCTAGAATTAACATACATGCTGATTGGTCCGGTTAAGGTAAGTTAACCGGAAAAAACGAGCGTATCGCGACCGACCGGTTCAAGGCCCGATCGTTAAATCTGACGAACTCGGAATTACTCGAGCCACCGCCAGGTGGATATTTGATCAGGGCCAGCGCGAACTGCCAGATTTGGCCGAAAGTCGCTGGCTGGCCAGTAGGGGCAACACCATGTGCAGTGATAAGCACCTTGTGGGGGATTGGACGACGGGTGAGATACTTTATGTAACGCTATCATGGGTCATCATCATCGGTCATCGAAAGAAACACTGGAGGACTTCCCATCGCCTAAATCGCTTGATCTGGAAGGGGGTCCTAAACTCTATTGGCTGGTGAAAACTTGATCTTGATCCATTTTTGCCAGCAAATAACGTTTAGGATGTCCTTCTAAATTAACAGATTTGGACGACGGGAAGTCCATTCACCTCCACCGGCCAGCTCAGTGGTTGAGGGCTAGTTGGCCGGCAGGGCTTGACCTCCACCCGCTAAGCCAGGCTGGTAGAAGCTTCTTGGGTAAGACATTCCTCCGTTTTAATTGACGGTAAATCAGTTGCAGTGACCTCCAAGAAGTTTTTTATTTACATATTTAGATAGAAACACCCATTAAAGGGTCGAATGTACATACATAAATACCTAAACAAGGACAAGAGCTTTTGTTGTGTCAAGCCGGCGGAAATAGTATTCGAAGCTTGGTTGCTTGAAGGTCGTCTGACTATGTTATAACCCACCACACCCAGCAACGGCGATGTAGTTATATAAGCATCTCACAGTGAGCCGGACACCACCTCCTCTCTTGTCTCTCGCATTCGCTTTCTCAAGCTGACTGACTCCTTAACCCAAAACCAAGCGGACAGAAATACTGGCCCACACCGAAGGATGAGTCCTAGCGCTAATAGTAATACCAGAGCCCAGCCGACTTACTTGATCGGAACGATCAGTATGTTGATGAGCGACGAGCCAAACTCATGTGTTGAGATTCACTTGGAGGAACGATTGATCCAAGGAGAAGATGAAAAGGAAGGCTGGAGGAAACACCTACAATGGACGGCGGCCAATATACAGGGTGCGGCCCGCTTGAACCAGCAGCCAGTCCATCTTATCGTCAGATTCCGCGGAACTTGGGCATGGGCAATCGTCCAAGACCTCAAGACGAGTTTGGAGGTAAAGCTCTATGTGGACGTTTACAACCCCAGCTTCAACAGAAATGATAATAGCTGGGAGTTTTCCGACGGCGTACGGGCTGATCTACTGATTGGAAACCCTAATTCGAACCCATCATCGTGCTTGGTCAAGGAAATCAACATATGTCAGAGCTGCTATTGATATCAGTTTCTTCCAGAGGAAAGAGCATCCAACTGATCCACCAGTGATTCTTTCCACATTTGAGACTCTAAATAGATTCCCCTATTTCCAGCAATCCGTCTCCGACTGCACCCTTACTTGATCATGTACGCATCCCAACCACAATCAACTCCGAACGTGTGCTGCAGCCCACCTCACTAGACCGCAGAGAAACTCATGGTTTGCCCGGACCACGAACAAAACGCACCCAGCTAGCAGCGGGGAACCACTTGGGTGGAAGCCAAAACATTGATCACAATCAGCCTCCTTCAGAAAATCCACCAGACTTATCATCAGCCAGACAAAACTCACATAAACGTGCACGAATCCACTCGAGAGAATCAACCCCACCGATCCTTCACCCTCATCGAAATCCTGATCAGTACCAGACATCGGCCCTCCCCGTTTCTGCAACATCTAATGCACCAACTCGTCCTGATTCTGCTGGCCAGGCTTGCTCGAAGTCCCCAAGGAATCTTCCCCCAACCTTCATAAACGAGGTAAATATGAAGATTTGTATGCATACATAGAGACTTATGCTCATACATATGATCTTTCCTAAACAAATTAATGTCACAAGGATATGTCTTTAAAGAAATTGGACGATTTAGAAAGTATGAAAGCAGCTCCGAAAGACGACTTGTTTGGCGTAATAACGATCATCCATGGAAAAGACGGGACAACATCGAGAACTGGATCCAATCTGGAGATAACATTTGACCTGCTCGACTTCTCACGACCAATTGACAAAGGGGTTGTGCAGTGCAACCTGTCTTGGGAAACAGAGGAGGAGTGCGAATATTGGGAAGATTCGAATGTCGACTGGAAGGTGATATTCCTCCACAATGTCTACAGAGAAAAATCAAAGAATTGCCTTGCCCAGATCGTTGGCCACAAGGGCTCCTTCGATTATGCTGTCTGGTCTCCCGGCTGCAACGGCTCTCCCGAGAATTTCTACTGCTCCACTGCAAACCTCGAACATTTTAGCTCCCACTTTGGCTTCACTACTGCAGGTCTGAAAGCTAAAGCCCGCGCCCTTTATCACGAACATGAAAAAGAAAACACACACGCAGTCTCTTCGACCGTCCATTCGGTTCCCACAACCATATCTGAACTTGGCGGTGATATTGTTGACAAAGTCGATTTGTGCGTTGAGGTGAGCATTCCCCCCATGTTTTGTTTTTTTCAAGATGCAGAAGAGGACAAGAGATATCACTTTGGTGGCTTGAGATGATGAGTTACATAACTTGGTTGCAACACGTGATGACGGTGATTGATTTGAAGCAGAGTTTATTATTTCTGACGTAACTATTATAGATTGTAGATATCTGGTTTGCAGATGCAAAGAAGCAAGATAATGATCGGATGACGGTGACGGACTATACAGGAAACCAGGGTCTGAAAATGTCGATGGAGGATCTGAAACGCCATCCATTGTTGTGGAAATTCCACAAGGAACATGGTACCGATTCTAGTTGGTCGGTGACGGCAGAGCGGTTGATGTCGGTCTACCTCAATCCGCCGATCCTAAAGGTGATCTACCAGAAATTCAATCCAACCCACTCCTGTGATTGGCTGTCCTATCAAGACTATCGTCAGAAGTTGCTCGGCAAGTTTGTCCGGTTGAGCCAGCTGGACATCAGCTTTCGCCAAGATGCCAAAATAAAGATCTATGCCACCATGGCCAACCCCAGCCAGTCCTCCATCACCTCCCAGCTTGCTGAAAGAATTAGACCCATTGGATCCTCCGACCCCGCCTTCAAAAAACTGTTGGATAATAAACAATTATATAAGTGCGAAATAAAAAAAAAACTGACTTATAAATACATATACACATCCCTGTCCTTGTTTACAATACACATGTCTTAATTTCTTGCTGATCTTCATTTGTTCCTCAACTTTTCCAATGCACAATGGCTCTTAGTGGTTCCCTGTTCCATTCCTGGTTGCGTCACCTAATTGCCCGTAGTGAGTGCACCCAGAACCTGAGCCTTGGTCTTCAATTCATCTCTTTTTTAGCTTTATATACCATCAACCTTGAGGTTGTGTGTTCAATCCTCACTCTCAACAATATTACCAACACCACTACTATCGACGATAACCTCATCAACATCAACATCATCATCAACAATCACTGTCAGGGGTTAAGAGATTATAACCCCCTCATGAGAAAGGAATATAAATATTAAAATAAATAAAAAGAGATACGTGCGGGCATGCACAGAATGAATAAAGAATAAATTGAATTAGGATGCGGCACAGCAGGAATCAAAGCGACACAAAGCGTAGAAGATCCCCAATTTTTGAAGGAAGAATCTACTTTTCCAAAATATTCTTTGACCCCAACAAATAAAACTAACCACAAATTGACCAGTGCTCTCTCCTAGTATTTAAGAAGAGTCATTGGTCTCTCCTCCCCTTTGTTTCCTCTCTTCTTCAGACATTTATAACTACAAAACTCTAATTACTATCAGTAAAACTAGTATAATCAGAACATAGCCAACACTCTAGCACTCCTCAATTCTATTGCCTGCAGGTTAGGATTTTCACTACCTAGTCTTGAGGCTCCTGCCTACTACACTCCTGATAGTCCCAAGATTAGTATTATTTGTGTCTCTAAGAACTACAACCTCTTACGACTCACCACAACTTTCCTACAATCTTCTAACGCCCTCTCCAAGTTCCCCTATGACTGTTCCCCCACCTGTTAACGTGAATTGTTAACTCCCCAACTCTAGCTTACTGAGATTGGTTGCCCTGGTTGCAAGACTGCTGGAAGATTCACAACGTAAGTCTCATCGAGCTATCTCTGAGCCGTGCTACTTCCTGACCTATCATTAACCTTGAGTCTTATCTAGGATTCTAGCCCTACTTCTTTTAGCCAGGCTATAGCTACTACCTCCTCGACACCCGTAAGTACCCCAAGCCTGACAATCACCATCAACTTTAACCATTATAAAAATCAGTCGACAGCTTCATCTCAAACTATCCTCTATCACAATACAAAAAATGCCAAGATGAGCTTGGTGGTCTTGTTGTTCTGATAGCATAGAATGGCAGAGCTTGCAACTCTACCATCCCCTTCTCCATTCAGCAAAAGGGTTTCACAACCACTTTTGAGTCGTACACCGGATATCCCCTCCGTTTTTCAGCGGAATGGGGCATCCGCACCCACTGGCGGGTTTCTGAGCGGGTATCCACGGATACCCGCCCTTTAAATGGGCAGCAGGGCAGCGGGCTGGAAGGAAACCCAAAACATGGAAGGATTTCCTTCCAGCGGTAAGGAGGTACATGTACCTAGCCGCTGGAAGGAAATCCTTCTGGTCGACAAGGTACATGTACCTCTTTGACTGGAAGGAAACCCTTCCAGACGGCCATCTCATCCTCTTGGCCTTGGGTATCTGTAAGGACTCTGTCAAGTCCTTCACTGTCTGTTGGAGAGGCACTAGAAAAGGAGCTGAATAGCGTCCACAGAGAAGATTCTAGTACCAACGTGTCTTTTATTTCAGTCTAGACAGGATAGAAAGATCTCTTGTTAGTATCTAGAAGTGGAGGAAAGTGAGGAAATGAAATGAGAAGAGAAGGAGAGAAGATAAGGTACTTACCTAGACAGGAGAGAAAGATCTCTGCTGTCTAGGTGAAAGGGAAGTGCAGGACTAAATACAAGGCAGAACTGAGCTTATGTAATCTAGTGACATGTTTGTGTAAGTCATGAGGAGCAGGGCTTACAGTATCCTTGGGGATACCCAGATATCCACCAGGTTTTGGGGGAAAAGCGGCCATCTGCACCAACTGGCGGGTATGTGTTGGGGCCAGCGGGTATCTGCAACAGATACCCTTTGACCATCTCTAGGCAAGGCTACCAATGCAGCCTGGAAATCCACATGAAGCGTTCACATCCAGGATCCTGGTCAAATTGTCAGAGGTTGGCTTTTGCGGATATTTCTTGGAATATAACTTGTTGATTGTGTCGCAAAAGCACTTGAGACCTGTCCAAGCTGTTGATTCTCCTATACAACAGTATAGAGATTGTTTGTCGGTTCCCTTTGCTAGGTACCTAGTACCGCTTGGGGGTACCGCCCGCACCCGCCAGGCGGTGCCGGGTGCCAGTTTTTTGGCTAAAAAAGGGGTGGTACCCGGGTACCGCTACGGGTACCACCCCCACAAGGACCAGTCTAACTGGTCCTTGGTGGGAGTAAACACCCCTTCAATGACCGTTTGACCGGTCATTGATGGGGGGAAACACCCCCATCAAGGACCGGTTTTGACCGGTCATTGATGGGGGGAAACACCCCCATCAAGGACCGGTTTTGACCGGTCCTTGATGGGGGTCAACATCCCCATCAATGACTGTTTGACTGGTCATTGATGGGAGGAATGACCCCCATCAAGGACCGGCTTTGACCGGTCCATGATGGGGGTCAACATACCTATTGATGACCGGTCAAACGGTCATTGATGGGAGGAAACACCCCATCAGCCGGTCCTTGATGGGGGTCAACATCCCCCTCAATGACTGTTTGACCGGTCATCAATGGGAGGAATCACTCCCATCAAGGACTGGCTTTGACCGTTCCTTGATGGGGGTCAACATCCCCATCGATGACCGGTCAAACGGTCATTGATGGGAGGAAACACCCCATCAAGGACCTGTCAAACTGGTCCTTGATGGGGGTCAACATACCCATTGATGACCATTAAACCCAAATGAACAACCTCACTGTTAGTGTTGCCCACATTGCTTCACTTTTATTTTCATTTTTTCATATTTATTGTAAAATAATTTTACCAGGTTTCATCTTTATTCAAAGTCCCTCTAAACCCAAATAACCTACCTCATTGTTAGTGTTGCCCACATTGCTTCACTTTCTACTTTTTTATTTTTTCATATATTTCTTGTAAAATAATTTTACAATAAATATGAAGAAATAAAAAAGTGACTTGGGACTGATATTTTACAATAAATATGAAATAATAATAATAATAATAAAGTGACTTGGGACTCTGGGAGTGAAACTAGGTGAGAAAAATAGGGGAGGTACCCGCGGTACCTGCCAAAAGTACCGCCGGGAGGTGCCAGGTGCGGTACATGATATCTATTTTCTTGAAAAATTGAACAGGTACCTAGGTACCAACAGGTACCCGAGTACGAACAAACGATCTCTACAACAGTATTTGTCTGTTGCGTCCATTGCACATCCATAGGCCAGTTAATGAAACACAGAGGTGGCCTTCTGTAGACTGGATAAGCCTAAGTTGCCTGTGCAGTCCTGGGGAAAACAAAAATCAGTAAGCTTACAAGTTTTTTTAAAAAAAAGGCTCTTACTGGCTTCTGAACAAAATAAGGGCAAGCAGCTTCAACATCTGCGACAATATTCAAAAATAGCTCTCTCCTCATTCGGAATTGTTGCTTGAAATCAGTATTGGAGTAAGTCAAGCCTTGAACAAAGTAATCTTGCAAGAGTTTTTGGTGTCCTTCAAGATGACTTTGTTCTTTGTTTGGTTGAAGTTGGGCTTGGATTTTCTCTTCTTCTGCTTCTGTTTCAAGCTCTTCAAATATATTGATTGAGTCTTCATCTTTGTCTTCCATGTCCCAGTCGTACAGTTCTTGCATTTGATGGTGTCAATTACTGATGTGGTTGGACATAGCTAACTTGATCTAGCTATTCTGTCTTCACCGTTTACCTTCAAACAGATGTGGTTGAGGAAGCTGCTGTTAAAATTAACAATGCATTTTTCAGACAGTTAGCAGAAAATAATTGACTTGGGCAGGATTTGAACCAGCAACCTTAGCTTGAAGCTAAGACACTATACTAGAAGTGCTGCCTTTACCAACTAGGCTACCAAGTCCATGCCTGATGTGCTGATATTTAGAACACTGTGGATTACAGAATTTCAACAGTCGCGGTAAGTTATTATAACTTATTTCAAATTTTATCCGCACGCTAACCTACCAACGCCAATAATGATGCTCTCACCTCTACATTATTGTACTACATCCCTTTAATGTTACCCAGCTTCTACAGGTTCATTCCCTCCTGGACATAGAAAAAAATCAAGAACTTCATCCTTCTGGTATCCCATCACAATCATCATCAATATAGTAGCACTTATATGTTTCATCATCCTTTTTCTTGCCTCAAATTATTTACTTCCCCTTTAGCACTTTAGCAACTTATATACTCACAAAATAAACACACCATAAACCCCCAAAAAATTCAGTTTTTATTTATTCACTCCAGTTGTCCTGCCCTGTTGATCTGTAGTATGCATTCCCGGTGTGCAATCACAAACCATTTTACTTTCTCTTTCCTGTGTGTTTTTTTCTATCTCTCTGGCTTTTCCTGCTTCCCTCCCACTCTTAATATTTTCTTCTTCCAATTGACTTATCCCTTAAAACACACAAAAAAAAATAAGTAAATTAACACACACAAAAATCAGATACCTGCAAGCCCACGACTATATCGTATCATATTGGTCAATACAATACATTCAAAACAGACACAATACATTTCTTAAAGATACTATGTATATGGACACCAATACAAAACCAAATTATTTGGCAATACTGTATTTTATTGCATCTCTTTCAGTGTTGTTGCCAATACATGATGTATTGTTGTGTATTGTGCAGTAAAATACACAGTTTTGCAATACAGTGGAGAACTTCCCGTTTGATCTAGGGCCCTTTCAGAAGTCAATCTAAGCCCGAAAACTCTTGATTCTTGCAGAGAAGTTTGAATTTCAAGGCTCTACCGGCTCTGGGAGACCCACAGATGTTGACAGGAAGTTGTCTGGTGGATTTTATTCAAAAACAGATATATCAGAAATACATTTATTTCAATACAATACATGAAATGCAAATACATGTATGTATTTGTTTCAGTGTTGCTGTGAGTCTGATGAATGCCTCACTCCACACCAGTTTAAGCCCATCTGGAATTTAATTTTGTCAAAATTTTCATTTATTATCATCCCACCAGCATACTGTACTCCAATTTCCATTCTTTATTTTTTCATACTTCTGAAAAGAGTGCAGTAACTGTAATAATTTTTTCAAGTTTTAATAGTCAGTTTTTCTTACTTTTGTTTTCAGGTTCATTTCTTACAACCTATTTTATACCACTAGCCCAAGTATCATGATTTTGAGTTGGTGGGTTGGGGTTGTGTGATCCAAATAAACTGGCTATAAACATCTGGTAGGAGACTGTAGTAGATGTGATTTTGGCCTGAGAGGAATCTTGAACTATGGCAAACTTTGCTATAGCCTTGAAACCACAAAACATTTCACAGATTTTTTTTTGATCATCAAAAAGTCTTGCATGTTGCCTATAAGTTTTTGATGCATCATTAAGACCATCAATGGTCTGCCTCTTTGAACCACAATAGCTTTTTGAAGATGTTGGGGCAGGGGTCCATGTATGTTGTTGATTTGGTACCCTGCTCATTTTGCAGGATTTGGGAGGACTGGAAGACACAAAAAGAGTGTGGGAGGTAGCCAGGCTTCTGTTGAGTCTAACCCCCAAATGTAGCAGTGTATTACACCAAGGCAGCAGAAAGGTCAAGAAAAATCCCTTACTTCTCAGGCCAAAATCACCTGCAAGGCAGAAGTTCCTCCCAGGTGGCCTGGATCAACCAGCTGCTGGTCAGTATATTGGTTGCAGTCGGCTTGGCTTTAGAAACACTTTGTTTCACTGGAGAGTGTTTCAATGCATGGCAGCGCCCTAAGGATGATGAAGATGTACACAAATCATCATAACCTTTGTTGAAACATGAGACGCACAATCCGAGCTCGATCAGACTCCCGACGCACCCTGAAGGAAGGAATCCCTCCTGGGGGCTTAGTCCTTTTTTGAACCCGATTCATGTCGTTGGCCGAGTTGGACAGCCACATCTTTGCGGTGCTCGGGATGAGCAGAGACGGACATGAGCTTGGCAACCAAGGCGACCAGTGCACACAGGCTGAGCTTGTGATGTCTTGATCTGATCTGTTGGTGTTGGTATCAGGAGCACTATGTAGCTGGGAGCAAACTGCCAAGGCAAGTCAGGCCGGGACTAGACGAGGGGGGGTTGTATCCGATGACGGTGACTGATTTGTCAGGGTCGGTCTGAAAGTACATAGACCTAAGACTGTGAGCTGCGTGACAGGGCCGGGTGACAGGTGGGTTTGTTTGGCTGGAATATAAACCCTTGGAATTGTGTATGTTTTTTCAGGCGGACACTCTCAATGGGGAACAGCCAGCTGGCAGGGACGGTCAACAAGGGAAACACAACCACAATACATAATTCATAGTGGGAGGAACAAGAGGAAGACCACCTCCATCCAAACATCATACTACTTCCCGTCTATCTATCCATCCACCCTTTCCACTATACATCATATCCCTTTCCCTCCCTTCTTGTAACCTCAGCAGATTAACTAGAACAGGAACGAGATGACTGAACCCAAAACAGCCTCCGACCAGGAATCATCGATCGATCGTCCCGGCCCGGTCTCATCCTCCTCCGCCGGTCGATTGGAAAACCTCCTCGGTTCACCATGTCAGCCTCCCGTTTTCCCTCTCATTCTTCTATCCTTCCTTCCTCCCCTATCCCCTCACCCTACTTGCACATGTTTATCTCGCTCTCGTACGCGTTACATATCAACGAGTATGAGCCTGCTCCTCCCGCACATTCCTGCCTCAGCTACTGTATCACTTGCTTTCCGTCGGAGGGGGGCCGAACGAGCCGTGTACATCCTACATACCGCATACCCAAGCTATCCCGTCGTCTTGGTTTCTTGAGAGTTGTTTAATTAATCCTATCATGATCTCTCTTGACTTGTACCCTAACCAAAAATCGAAACAGATTGGCCATTAGGCTCCTCTTTCCTCAAGTTACTCAACTTCCCTCCCGCCTTTCGCACTATCTCCTGCCTCAGCGGCAGTGCTTCCACACCCCTAGCAATCGAAACCAACCCAAAGGATGACTGCCCCAAATCGCCCAAAGAAGATCAGCCGGTCCCACATGAGCCTGACCAGATGGAGGTTGATCTAGATGGCTCTCCCATCGAAAGTGATGATGGCTGCTCTCAAAGAGGGGATGAACGTCTGGTTGCTCATCAGGATGAGGACGAGGATGATGATCACACCTTGGAGGAGTTATTGGTTAAGCCTACCTCGACTGAGAACAGAAGGCACCCGACATCGGCCAGAAAACCTTCGCTATCTGACCGGCTCACCGAACCTTCGACTTGGAAACATGGCTCTGATCGTCATAGGTCGTCTCGAGAATATGATTACCGACCAACTGGAAGGCTTCCTTTTGCTTCAATCCCACGAAATACTAATTTCCACATAAAAGGCTTAGCTAGTCTCAAACGAACCGGCCAACAAGTCTCTGAACCCTTCAGGACCTCGTCAAATCTCATCGAATGTAACACTAAGCTTCACCCTTGGGGCAGCAAGCGTCCCAATCCAACTTCCTCCGGCGCCCAACCCTCTTACCACTACAACAAACGTTCTCGTCTGTCGGAACCTTCACAGAAACCAAGGTATGTCTCTTTCCTGGTTACGCTTCTCCGCTTTCCCCTCTCCAAGAATTAGGCAGGAAAAATGTGAACTGACCTTCTCCTTGGGATTTTTTTCTTCGCGGGCAGTGAGTCCAAGAAATGGGTCCGTGATCGTTATCAGGAAAGCGACGAGGAGTATGACCATCGTCGAGTGTCTGAAGAGATTAATTCACAGCGTTACCATTGGCCCAAGTCGCACCAAAAGACTGAGTATTACAAACACAAAAGGCTAGATTCTCCCGTCTCTCACGCCTCCGAACCCCAAGACCGGGCTAGTAGTACGGCTGGTTGGAAGAAGTACGACGATAAGACGGGATTTACCAACCCGAAAAGCCAAAATACCTCCCAAGACTTCCATGATGAGGTTGAGGATCGAGAAAGGCGGTGGATGCAAGAGTTCAAAGAATATGAAGTTTCTCGCACTGCTCATACTCGTTCGGTCTCTCCATTCCCCTCTTCTCACCGACGTTCCCCATCGAGGCACTCCTCAGAATCAGATAGTGACTACTACGCGCTAACCCAAATACCACCAGAGTTGAAGGAAGCACTCCACCGTGCAGTATTCTCATGGATCAATCGAGCCATAGCTGAAGCACTCTGTAGATTAGGGCTATGGCTCGAAGAAAAGAAGATCTGGTCGCCAACCGAATGGGGAAGTATTAGGGTAGATCAACTCGAAAAAGTTGTCAACATGACCTACGATCGAGGGCTATCTTACTTGATGTGGAAGTGTAACACCGTCGAGTTCATGGATTTGTTACAAAAGCCCATCCAGTCCGGGATTTTTTTTATCCACAAAGATCCTCAGAACGACGCTTGGTATATCAGATTCGGTAGAGATTTCACTCCAATTGGGCTATTATACCGGTAAATGAATTCTCATTTGATCTATTTACATCTCCTTGGTCTCTGATGATATCCAAACTTTACTGAGCATTCTACAAATCTTCTTCTATCTCTTCGCGTTTTCTACATGCGATGGCCTCATACACACTGCTTACCATCAATTGCTGGATATAGACCCATAGTCAAAGGCTATCGTAAGCACCTAACCGATTCTAAAAGTCAACTACCAATACAGGTCGGCAAGTTTGTACGACAATATATCATGTCCTGTCCCAATGAAGAGGACTTGCTTTACTTGTTCAAGGATGACAAAGACCCAATGGGAAGTCTAAGACGAGCTGAAAAAGATGGAATCATTGAACTGACTGATCAGCCACCATCTCATGGGTCGATCGGTAACCGTGATGGTTTATACGGCAACAGGACATGGTACAATAAGACTGCAGTTGAGAACAAATACATCCAGTTGAAGCCGTATTGGTTATCGAACAAAGACCCCGTTGATCAACCGCTACTATCGTCGCCGACCACAACAGTTCAGACTTGCGACACCGCTCCCAATGATGATGATGACTTGCCATCGAACTCGGCAAGCAAGAATATCAAGCAGAAGGTGTCAAATCTGATGGAGAACCATCAAGGCGACAATCAGCTCCCAGCGATTGATCGAAGGAACTCTGATAACACGTCTCTGTCTGCAAATACTACGAGTACCACCACTGACACTGGGAACGAACAGCTTGACCACGCCCCAGTCGGTCATGAAAGAGAACGCACTCGTTCGCACAGATCCGCGGCTGAGATTGAAACTGTCAAGCCGAAAAGCTCTCACTCTCCTAATGTGGACGACTTGATCCAATCGGTCGTTGATCAGCTAAATCAGCATACTTCAAGACAGAAAAGATACTGACCTGTAAGAAAGCAAGAATTTAGTTACCCTGATAATCTGCGGAGAGTTAGTCGCATTGCGTCTCCGTTTTGGTTTGGCTTTTCTTTTCTTCTCTCTCTCTCCTTTCTTTCGGCTCTATTTACGTTCTGCCATCATCGCTTATACAAAGCCATAAAAAAAACCGAATGTTTTACAAAAAAATTAATTGACATCTATTACACAAAATAAAATCAAAGAGAAAAAAATTTTAACTTATCCATGGGCTCTCATCAAAGTACATTCCAAATTTGATCTCGTCTTCACCCACCGAGTTCTTTTTTTTTCTTTTTATTCAATTGACATGGTTTTTTTTTTCTCTACAAATTTCTAACCTCTCAAAAAAAACTTACCAACACAGTCCTGTTTCTTTTGAAATCAACATTTGGTTTGTGATGTGTGTCTTGTTATGAAGAAATGATTGTATGAAATTCAAATTGCATGTGTGATCCTGTTTGCTTTTTTTTCTGGCTGTGGGTCGGTTGCAACAAAACAAAATATTATCAGGCTAGATACATACAAACTCCGATGGGCTCTACACACACTTTTCTTGCGAAGGGAGTTGATTCGCTTTGCGAAACATGTCAATATACTTGTTAATTCGACATAGTTAAGCCGAGATGTCGTGGCTGGTCGCTGGTGAGAGCTGCATGGGGAGTGACCAGCTTTGATGCCTGACCGCAACTTCAGCAGTGCATTACGGCCGGGGTGGCCGGTGTACAGATCAGTGGTGAGTCGTGGCGTACATAGACAGCGGATGACGGGGACAGGGGCCGGGCTCCCGGAAGCGGAAGACGTGCCGGCGGTTCTAGAATGATCTGTGGAAAGGACTGGAAGCCGGTCGAAGCCGCGAAGGAGCCTTCGACCGCTTTCTAGTAGTTATCTCGAACGGTCTTGCATCCCCTCACTCATCGCACTCTTGTACAAGCTCATGTCTTTTGGAGACCGGGCTTTCTCCAGGTTATCCAAAGAATATAAAAGGAGCGCCTCCATCAAGCTGTTGGAGTTGTTTCCTCAGAGAATCAACTTGATTTGAGAAACAGAAACCACACTCAAACACACACACACACATCCACACCCCTATCTCCCCACAAACAACCAACGCTAAAAAAACGAACATGTCTTTCCTCATCGCACCTAGCCAATGGGATGACTTTGAGCAACTCTTCGACAAGCTGGTCACGGACCGCTACGGCCCCCCATCTTCGGACCGGGCCAAAGGGATGAATGACTCGAAGGCGCTCGGCAGTACGGGCTCCCATATGGTGAGCAGGATCCAGCGTCCCAAGATGGATGTCGTAGAGACCGACGGCTCCATCGTCGTCACCACCGAGTTGCCTGGCGCTAAGAAAGGTGGGCATCTATTTTCTTCCTCCGGTTTTGTCGAACGAACATATCTTCAGGTTCAGGAAATCTTGATACCACATCTCATCTTCTGTCGTTCTCTCCAGAGGACATCTCCATCGACCTCCAGAACGGCCGTTTGTCTATCAGCGGCCACACCAAAGCCTCGAGCGAGCATTCCGAGGGCAGCGTCAGAGTGAGTTACAGCTCGTTTATAACAAAAGGCATGTTCCTTGGCCGACTCTCTGTATTTGTCCCATTTCAGGTTTCCGAGAGATCATTCGGCTCCTTCAGCCGCTCCATCGCCGTCCCACCCGGCCTCACCCACGACCAGGTCAAGGCGGGCTTCAAGGACGGCGTCCTCCAAGTCACTATCCCCAAGACCGTCCCTAACAAGGAATCACACAACATCCCAATCGCTTAGACTTTTCCGCCATCTTCCCATCTCTTTCTTCCGCAAATAAACAACCTCATTTTTACTTGCCTTCTCAATTCTCACTTCATCATATTTTTTGTTGTATATTTCTGTCCAATTGTTTCTTGTTTGAGTATCGTTGTGCGCTCTTGAATCTACACATTTTCTCATGAATAAAAATCTCAGGATTCATGACTCTATGGATGTCTCCCGAGCCTTCTAAATAAGCAGCTTTTGGTGGCTTCAATAAAAGTCTCGAAGATGGTGGATACAATACCGAACGTACATACATAGCCGTTCATTACTTAACTACATAGCCGTTCTTTACTTAACTAGTGAAGTTCTTTACTTAACTAGTCCCTCTAACATTGGAGTTTACCACTTTGACCGGGGGGCAGGGAATTAGTGAAGTTAGATACAACATAGCCCGGTGCGCACGCCTCCCTCACGGTCGGTAAAATGAGAGATTTCCACTGGATGGAACATGACAAGTTCTACAACAGGAACGAGAAAAGATGGCACCAATTGAGGAAAGGTTCACTGGAATCTTGCTAAATAAAACAAGAAAGATACCGTCTCAAAATGTACAAGTGTATTGTTGGCTGGTACTCCTGATTTGCCCCTGGCCACTCCTGGTAGCGGTGCTTCTTTGCCCATGGATTTTGCCTAAACAAGCGATCTATAGCAATAATTAACACTCCTTGAGGTGAAATAGGGTGAAATTGCCGAAAGCATGGATGATACCTTTCCATCAGCATTGTTTTAATTCAGCTCGAGACATAGTATACCATGGTCAAGGACGATCCTTAGCGTGACCTCGGAGTAGGCAAGCCTAGTTTGTTGAGTTCCATCCAATGTTAAAGTCAGTTGCCGGCAACAAACTTATTTAGTTAGTAGGAAATGTTAAAGCAGTACATAGCTGGAAATTCTTCCGACACTGGTCCACAACATGTGGCTTCGAAACTTTTATGCGCCTAAACACCCTCATATCCATCCGTAAGCACTACGAATCAAAACAAGTATACCTTGGAATTCATTTTCTATGGGGGCATTTGACACTTGCGGCGCTGATTTATTTCCTTTTATATAGCTACTCGGCCATCAAAAAAACTCATTTGAAGCACCGTTCTTGCTTTCATATTTCTGACATTGGTTGTGAAATTATTCTATTACCAAGTATGAAGACCCGATCACAGTCCGCCAAAATATCTCTATCTCAACTTCCAGTCGAGATTAAAAGGCTCATCGTTGAACAAACTGCACTTGTGACAGAGAGAGTATACTCCGAGAGTCAGAAATTCTTGAAGCTTGCCATGGTAGATCGAAGCTTTCATAAGCTTTGCAGTCCGACTAATTGGAAGGTATGTTTCCCATTATTATTTATACACGTTCCCTCTCGCGTATCTTCTTGTGGGACTCGACACCACATGGTGTTTCCTTTGAAAATAAGAAGAGCCTTGTAGAGTCAGTTTCTAATTTTGTTTTCGCAATTTTTTGGCTTAGGAGCTCGACCTGCGATGCTCTGGCAAATCTAACCTTGACGGTCTGATCAATGAAATTCTGCATCGTCAAGCAAACCATGTACAATCAATTATTATGGGACTCCATCCCGACGGGGTTCCAAACCAGAAAAATTTCGCGAGCGATTCAGAAAAAATCGATAGCTCGAGCGACTCAATATCAAGTGGCAGTGAGAAGGAATTCCCTGCAGAAGAATTACGTTACATCTTGGAAATTTGCACTAACTTGACCAAGTTGGAGATACGCTATGAACCGACTTCCCTCGATGAGTTTGGAAACTTTATCATCGACCCTTTGCGCCCGATAACGATGATGACGCCCTTGATATCTCAACTTTCCAATTTAACTCATATCAAGCTAGACAACTACAACGACGATAATACTCACTCCAGCGAGGAGTCCTTGGTCAAATTAATTGAAAAAATGGTGCATCTGGTTTACATTCGCGTGGATTTCATTAAGGCCTCCTTTCCAACTTGCGATTTCTGCGAGTGTCCACAATCCGTTCAACCCTCTGTGTCGCCACTTGGTGTTCACTTGGCTTCACTACCATCTCTTAAATTCATCGTATTCTTTCATGCCGATTGCTTTAATTTGGACTGGAGCAAACTCGATTGGAAAGGGGAACTTGAAGAATTGACACTGCACTATTGCTTCAAGGTTTCTTTACGCGCCCTGCATGCTTTTTGCAGCCTCTTTGAGAATAGTCTGGTTAAGCTTTCCCTCTACTATGTTCCGGTCAGCTTCTCAGACGACAATCTCGCCCACATCCTACCCGAATCGGAGCGAAAATTACTGTTTCGTCTGTCAAAGCTACAGCAGCTATCTATTTTCAACGGTTATCCAATCGAATTGCTCAAATTGTTCCGAGAGGCTTCCAACCTCAAGCAAATCAGTGTGAAAAATGTTGGCGAAATGTGCTTAGAACCTCTGAAAAACCTGATGGATCACGAGGATCCGATTTGGAGTCGATTGAAATCGTTTGTGTTTTGCGAGGACAGGGATTTTGAAACTGTTGAATTGCGCACACCTGAGGAAATTTCAGACTTCATAGCTCATGGTGCCAAAGCCGGTATCAAGGTGGAATACGGCTTGGTGGGCAACGAGAGGCACCAATGTTGGTCAAATGACGGGGAAGACGCATGGAGGTTTAAAGAGGAGATAGAGGAAAGGAAAAAACACGTGTGAAATATACAATTATCACAGACGTAGACGATTGATAGTAGAATAACACTTTTAAGTGGAAACAAAGTTGTAACAACCCAGCCAGGCCTGATGTTACATGTAGATATCTACTTCTTTGGTAGGACGAATTCTTCTCATCTTCTTGTTTTCAATTGTTTCTAAGTCAATTCGCTGAGAGGTTTTCTTGAATGACGGTTTTACTACGTTTTACTAAACATATTGTTTTTGATTCATACATCTGAACACAGACAAAAAATGAAACAAAAGTGTCCTAGTGGAATTCACATTGGAGAAAAGGATCAATTTTCTATCCTATACTGTTGCAGCCAAGGAGAGCAGAATAAAGATTTTTGGTTGGAACAGTCTAGCTCTTCAGTCTTACAACTCCCCATCTGAGTTCTGAAAAAAACAACAGGTGAAAGGCATGAAAGCTTCTCATGCAACAAAGATAA